ATTGTAAACTTTTTACCATCTCAAAATGAACAGACAATACTATTAATCTCTTATTCTATTGATTATATCAATAATCAAATATGGACCACATTTGATAATGATAAATTATTCTGAAGATATACAAATTTCCTATCTAAAGTTACCTTAGTACAAGGAGCTAAGGTTATATTCTTACATAATCAATTATTTTCAGATGGATTGTACAATGGTTCTATTGGTATAGTATTAGAAATTCTTGATGATGAAAATATAATAGTTGCATTTCTATTAGCTCAAGGAATTTCTTGTACAAAAGTTGTTAAAGAAACAGTTTACTTCAACATACATGGTTCCCATGCACAACGAAAACAATTTTCACTACAAAATGCATTTGCTCTAACTAACACTTTACCACCTGTACTTAATTACACATTCCAAAATATCCCTCAAAAAAAAATCCTGAATTTAATAATTCTGAATTTATTAATAATCAATTTGTTCATTATAATTATAATCCTAATTTACAAAATATAAATCTATTTAATAACAATTTAGAAAATTCACCTTCAAATAATTCTAATTCTAAATAACTTCACTAAAATTATAATATAATAAATTTTTACTTCATAATTCTTATGATTAATTTTCTTAATTTTAAAATATTAATTAATTAATATAAAATTTGATAATATAAATTTATTATATTAATAATTCCATTAATAAAATTTAATAATTCCATTAAAATATTTAAAATATAAAATTAATTAGTAAATAAAATTTTAATAAATAAAAATTTAATAATTTTATCAATTTACCATGTAATTAATCTCCAATTCATTTCTTTGTTCGAAATATAAAATTAATTGATAAATAAATTTTAATAATATAATTTAATAATAAATAATTATTAAACTACTTGTTAATTCAAGTTTTAAACCATTTTCTTTAATTTGTGAAATAAAAATCAAAATTAATAAACATAAATTAATAGATATTTTTAAAATAATTTACCTTGTGCTTCTATTTCAAATGAATCATCTTGATAAATTAATCATTTGTTTCATTTTGAAAAAATATAATCAACTACTAAATCTCTTTCAGTACCATTAATTATATCTACTTCTGAAGTTGTTCCATTATTTATCAATTATTGATCAGAAATAATATCAAATTCATCAATTATTTCTTTTCATTCTTCACAAATATTGTGAAGAATACAACAACAGCTTACAATATGAGATACTATTTTAAGATTTGTTTCTATTGGATTTTGCAACACTCTCCAATCCAATTAAGTAATCCAAAAGCTTGTTCAATTTTGATTCTTGTTGCAGAATCTATATAATTGTAATGATTTTGAACTTGAGTTAAATGTCCATTATCTTTATAAGGTACTAAAAGCCAATCATTATTAGCATAATCACTATCACCTAAAATATAAGTTTTTGAAGGTATAATAACAAATTGTTATTAAATGATGAATAAAATGGAAAAATATGCAAAGCACGAGAATCATGAGTTGCACCTGCCCATCCACAATAAATATTCATGAATTTGTATTGTGAATCACAAACTGCTTGTAATACTACACTATAAAATTTTTTCTATTAAAATAATCTATACTATCTTTAGATGGTGCTCTAATAAGAATGTGACTTCCATCAATTGCTCCAATAACTTATGGAAAACCTTTTAATAGATGAAAAACATTAATAACTTTTTGTCATTCATTATTATTTGTTGGAAATCTGAAATAAAAAATATTATAAATATTTTTTTAAATAAAAAATAAATTAAAAAAAATTATCTGATTTTTTCTTTTAAAAATACATTTATAATTAATTGAATAGTATTTCTAGAATGATAATGAAAAGTTGAAACACCGATACCAAATTGTTGTGCAATTGTACAAAATGATTTACCAGTTGCAGAAACCACAAAGTTGCAGCCAATTTTAAATACAATGATATTCAAGGTTTTATTTTGTTTCAGGTGAAATTTTTCTTAAAATCCATCAAAAGTATTCCTACTAAGTCAGAAATGCCTTCAAAATTTTTCGTTTTGCCATTGCATGCAAATGTTTGTAAACCAAATTGCACTTTTTGCTTTTTTCTCTCATTTCTTTTTTTTAAATTTATTTCCATTAAGAGGTTGAAATGTTTGAACAACTCTAGTTAAAATTTTGATTTCCTCATCACTTGAACTACTTGAGTTACTTGAGGAAGAAGAGGTTTCATATAAGGTTTCTGTTGCAAGTAAAAAAGTTTGGTTGTTTGCCATAATGAAAGGGATAATCTATAAAACTTATAGACTATCGTGAAAATGATTAGATTAATTTTGAATTCGGCCAATTAGATATCAATCTGGATTGAATCTAGATTAATTCAATCAAAATCTAAATTCACATGTGAACATACCCTATGTTTAATACAAATATTTATAAAATAAAAACTAATAATTTCTATTTTAGGTTGTGTAATAAGTCTTAACTTTTTAAAGGTGATCTCATTTTGAGTTAAAATTATTGGTTATAGATATAAATTTTGGTCTAAAAAGATCCAACATTGGACTTTTTTATAAAAATTAGTAGCTCAAAGTAAGGCCATAATTTTCAGTTTAAATTATGCTAAATTTTTGGCCTAATGTTTGAAGAATTTGAGGTCAGCATTAACTTTTGACATTGATATTTTTAGTTCAAAATTCTAGATCAGCATTGTTAATTATAATTTTCAGTCAAAATTTTATTGGTATAATATAACTTTCGAACAAAATTTATAATTGCCCATCTTTGGACATTTTTTAAATTAAAATCGTGAATTGAAAAAAAACTATGGATAAATTTAAGCTAACATTGAGGAATGTAATTTTAAGCTAATCATTATTTTTTTACCCAATGTTGGATATTTTTTGGAACCCTCAAAATTTTATTTTTTTATAAAATCTAAATTTTTTAACTCTACTTTTATATCAGGGTTACTAATAAATTGTTTTAATAAAATTTAAGAAAAATTATTATATCAATAAAATTAATTAAACATGATTAATTAAAATAATAAAATATGATATAATTGTATAAAAAAAATGTTCAAAAATTATTCAGTAACATAATAAATTCTTAAAATGATGTTCTTAGATTATTTTTCATCTATTTGAAATTAATTAATTAGAATATTATTATAAAATGTTCATTATTAAAATTTTCTTTTTATTAATTGTCTTACTAATGTTTCAATTAAAAATTTAAATTAAATATCTCAATACTGACTTATAACAAGAATATTTCTTTGTGATTTTTTTCATGTAACGCTTGTATTATTTTCTGTGCATTATTATTAGAAATTTCATGGTTTTTAAATGGTATGCATTTGCCTTATTGAATTTTATAATAATTATATTAAACTGGTAATTATATTACCATATCCTACCGTGAATAAGCACCCCGTGAATAAGCAACATGTGTAATTTAAAATATAATTTATATAGTATCAATGTTAAAATAGTAAATAAGTACCACTTTCATTTTTATTATTATAATAAATTTTTAGAATAAACATCACCTGTAATTTATTATTATTATTATTAAAAATAAATTTTTTTAATCACTTAATATATTATTTTCATTATCTTCAATATCTGAACCATATGCTGATATATCATCTTTTAAAATTACTTCATGATCATAATTTGCTTCATAATTATTCTCACCATCAGATTCATATATCATATGATCTTCCATTCCATCCATTGAATTTGAAATACCACATTTTTTAAATGATTTAATAACCATCTCTTTTGGTATAGAATCCCATGCTTCTAAAATCCAATTACAAATAACATTATAACCAAGTTTTTTAATATTAACACCTTTGGTTAAATTGAAATTTCCAACTGCCATCTATTGACGTCATTTTACACGAAGACGATCTTTTAAAGGTTTTTTTAAGTAAACATCTAATAGTTGTACCACTGATGTAAACCCACTAGGAATTATGGCCAAATTACTATTTTCATCTTTAAATGCAAGTTTTACTTGTGAAGTTTTATGTGCTTTAAAAGAATCCAAAACTAATAATGATTTTTTCTTTAATAACCCACCAGATCAGTTTATCAAATTTCTTCTAACCATATTTTCATTAAATTCTCATCCATCCAAGCTTTTTCATGCATTTTTACTATGATTCCAGATGGTAAATTTGGTGAAGACATTTTCCTTTAAAAATTACCATTGGAGAAAGTTTTGTACCATCAGCAAAAACTGTCAAAACACATTGTTGACCGTGATTTACCTTCAAATAAATATGATTAACTAACAACTAAAGGTAGTGAAATATGTATAGCGAACACACAGCAACTATACTTAATATACCAATGTTGGAAGAGTTTTATACTGTAAAGGAAGTA